GAAAAATTTCAAAGCAACGACTAACTCGTGTATACGAGACGCGGACGCGAAAATCGCATCGCAGCTCGTATACACTTGTTTCGTCCGTGTATTGTTTGATATATTGAAAAGTAATTGTCATCTTTGATAATGGCTTATGTAAGCCGAAAGCTTAGATTGGATTTAAACATGTATCAATATAGTGATTTCCTTTCGTCTTTCAATGATAATGTTATTAAGCTTATCAGACAATATGAAAGGAATTTACTTAAAATAAAATTTACTTATTTAATGAAACATGCATTAATATATATATATATATATATATATATATATATATATATAAACATAAAAATGTCTTAGAACTTCTGCATAGTAGTTTAGCTGTTTGGGGATCTTGCGAAGGAGTGTTATACCTTTTTTGGCAGTCACACGTTAGGCGCGATTAGTTGCTCTGACATCACTTATCTGTATATACATGGATTTACTATTTATTAGTATCATTACCATTATATATATATAATTTACGCATTAATATCAATTATTCCTGTAAAAACGAAATATAACTTCAGTAGGAAAAAATATCTAGGACGTTCCAAAATTAAAATCGCTGGTATGTCTAGAGATTAACTCGCAACAAAAAACAGTGAATGTCGGAAGAAAAGAAGAAAAAAAAAAAAGAGAAAAAATCTAAAGAGCAAGTGGAAAGTGAAAAAAAAAGAAAAACGAAACGCAGACGGGCGCATGGCTGCACGCATTCAAACGCACACACGAACATAAAAACACAGAAGAAAACTTACACCAATGTTAAATGTATAAAAAAAAATATAAGCAGTAAATTTCTGATACTCCCTGAAGATTGAACAACTTTATGAAACTTTTGAGTGCGCATGCTCTAGGTAACATCAATCAGCTAAGTGGCAAACATTTACTCATATTAATCCCATATATATATATATATATATATATATATATATATATATATATATATATATATATATATATATATATAAATAAAACAATAAAATCCAAAATGACCTCATATGATAAATAACTTATTTCGGCAGACGAAGATATCGGTCGTCTGTCTTATCAAACCCGGTGTGGACTCTGTATACACAGTCTACGATGGATAAACTGTCTACTAAATTAAGCAAAAATGAAAATAACACTGACATTTCATTTTAACAGATATATATACCAAAATTACACAAAAATGTCTTGAAATACTAAAGAGTTAATTTATTCAATAAAATCGCTATTGGCTTCAACAACGGCCTCCAGACGACTTCGAAATCTCTTGCAACTCTTCTGGACGGCCTCCTTGTTTAAATTGGTGAATGCTGCCATAATCTTTGCCTTCGGTTCATCTTTGGTGTTACAAGGAGTTTTGTTGATCTCTTGCTCAACTGCACTTCGACACATAATAATCAAGGGGGTTGCAATCTGGGGAGTTAGGTGAGCAGAAGAAGGGGACAGCAAAAATTGTCTGACAGCCATGACTGGGTTCACCTGCTTATGTGGCATGGTGCAGAAACCTGTTGCCAGACATAGGGTCTACCAGCAGCCATTCTCTTGACCCAGGGCAGCACTACCTCCTTAAGGCACTTGATGTAAGCCTCTGTGATGAGTCTGAGGCCCTCGCCAATAAATTCGGGAGTTCTTTTCTTATCAGAACAATGAGAGTGAGTTTTTCCGAGATGTCATACCATCGTAATCACCATTAGACTCATCCGCATCGTCAGTAGATTGACACCCAAACACTCTGAAATATTCGTATTGGAGCTTCTGGCGCGAATGCTAAGCAGTACACTATGCCGTTTCCAGATTTCTGGCGCAATAAACTGCGCCATGGTGCTATTTTTCTCACAGACGGCACCCAATCGACCATAGGATAAAGTGCAGTCAACAAAATCAAAACCAAAAAACGCGCATGCGCGAAATTAAAAATATAAAATGACGACAATTTACTCATCTATATATATAACTTGGAGAAAGAAGATCATTTGGAAAATGACGCTCGGATTCTGATTCGCTCGCAAGATTGTGACGTTGTTTTGCTTTTGGAGGCAGTTCCTGTTTCTGATTGGCTCGTTGAAATCTGACTTCATAGCCTATCGATTAATTTTGTTCGATATATTCCGAATTTTGTCTACTTATAGCAACGATGGAATTTGCTTTGATTTTTCACTTTTTAGTTATCTCTACAAACTGCCATCCGTCAAAACAGAAATCGAGTGCCATTGATGAATCACCACACACGCACACACACATATATATATATATATAGACACATAAATTATCTGTCTATATATATGAGTTGAGGTATTGTAACTATATACATTATTTATTCGGACTTTTGTCCTCGTCTTTACCACCATACTCGCGACGTTACGACCGTTGTACGCTCCGACCTTCTTCATACGTTTGAATTTCATGCCTTTTTTCTTTTCTTTTTTGTTTTGTTATCTCAATTTCAGTTAATTCCCTTTAGTATCTCAACTCTCTAAGCTTTTTTTTTTTTTTTTTATTCACTTCTGTTGTGGCCGGGTATTGAACTCGCAACTCAATGGGTCAAATTACTTTTTGATTACTCAACTTTTGGCCACTAGGTCATGGGGCCTTGTGGTTCGGTTCGAAATTCCAACGTATATCACCTGAAGATGGTCGGGGTTTGCAACGGCCGGAACGCTGTGAATATGGCAATAAAGATGAGGACAACAATCCGAATGATATAAATAGTTTATTTACATACCTATATATTAAATATAAATATTTAAACACACACACACACACACACACACACACACACACACACACACACACACACACACGCACGCACGCACGCACGCACGCACGCACGCACTTAGTTGGCACGGGTCAAAGCTTCCCCCCCATAACATCAATTATGAACACGGTTAAGATAATGAAAAGTTTGCAACATAACATCAATTATGAACACCAGTGCTGACCTTGTTCGGAAATTTTCAATTTTTCATCGATATATATATATATATATATATATATAAATTCGACAAATTATATAAAATTCGACAAAAAACAAAAAAAAATTCCTTAATAGTGGACAATTTTTATACACTCTATATGCAAAAAAGAAATCACTTGTACGAATGTAAGAGAAATTTAATTAAAAAAAGCTATAAGCTGTGCTTTATCAGTTGTCTTCAATAAAAACTTGTATAAAAGAAGGATTGCTGCCCAAATAATACACAATTTTTATATATATATATATATATATATATATATATAATAACAAAGTGGGAAAACCTTTTCGTTTCAACTATAACTGAAAAGGATTTATCTAAGCTTAACATAAAAGGTTTAATTAACACAAAACGAAATAATAATAATAATAATAATAATAATAATAAGCTAAAACTTGAAGGAGAGTGATTGTCACAAGGAGAAACCTCAAGGAATTTAAATAAAAGATTGTATGAACAAAAAAGGGATCTTTTACAAAACAACACACTCAATGCATTAATTGGCAACCATAATGAGACAGAATATAGTTTCGATTTTAAAAAAATACAGCTTTAATTAAAAGAGAAAGCAATTTAATAAAACAAAAGTGTATAGAAAGTGCTTTAATCGCCATATCATCAACAATAAATTTACATCCAGACTCTTACAACATTTCACCTTTCTTGGCAGATCTTTTATTATTACAATGTGGGATATTTTATAATAAAAGTGATAAAGTATAAAAAAAAAAAAAAAATGAAACTAAATGAAATTGACTAGACTAGATACGCGAACATATATTTAAAACAAAAAAAAATTAAATTTAAAATTTCAGCGTTGTCTCCCCTTTGTGCGTGTGTGCAGTCACGTCAACGTCAACATCATTTTCCGATGAAGTCCGAAAAAGACGAAAAGATTTTTCCACTTTGTCATTCATTTCCCTAATAGTGGGTAATTGGAATAATAAAAGAAAAATTCAGACTAATAATGGTTTTATATATGTAGAGAGGTCATGGAAATATTACAGACACTGGTTGTAACCTTTTTCATTATAGCCATTTCAATTACCCACTATTAGTCTGATAGAATTATGACTTTTTGGTAACCCTATGTTCCTGTGTCACAAATTGCTGAACGTTTTTTTTTTTATTGTAATGTAAAAGGCATTAATTTGTACTAGTTCTTGAAAAAGGTCATCCCTCCCAACAGAAAATTTAATTTTACGCAATAAGGGCAAAAAATCAAAATATTTCACAAGCTTTATTTTTTAATTTGCGAATGAAATAATTGGATAGTACTTATATAACTTTTAAAGCATTTAACAGTTTATAGCTGTAGCATAATCTACAACCTTAAAAATATCCAAAAATTGCAAACTTGCTTTTTTATATTTCAATTTGCTAATGATGTAATTCGATAGTACTTATTTTTAATGCATTTAGCAGTTACAAACTTACAAATAAAAAGACAAGTTCTAGAAGCTTCCAGAAAGTTCGAGAAGGTTCCATAATGTCATAGTACTACTATACTTGTATACGATTTTAGAAACTTCGTGTTGTGGGTGACATTTAAAAAAAATAAACTTAATTAAACCCATCTTCATTATTTTTTAACAAAAATTCATCGAATTATGATATAGAAAATCAATTATTTTACAAAAGTTATTACACAGAGAGAGAGAGAGAGACAGACACACACACAGGGAGAAAGAGAGAGACAGACAGACAGACAGACGAACGGATAGATAAAAATAAAATGATGAAAATGAGGAATAAACATAACATTTGATACATACACACACAAAAAGAAAGAATTAAGGCAAAAACTAATACAAAGAGCTTTCCAAATAGCGCATGAATTAATTACATTCAACTTAGTATAAAGATAACATAAAATGAGAAAAATGGCAGTCAATTGCAGAAACCTCCTGACGAGTGGACAGAATGATTATGGAAAAGTTTGTCTACGAAACTTTGAAGTCGACGTGTTATATATATCATGAATCAACTAAGTAGCAAATTTTATTTGTATTAATCCTAGACAATCAGATAGATAGATAGATAGATAGATAGATAGATAGATATGAAGAAACATAGATATGAAAAGACATAGATAGATAGATAGATAGATAGATAGATAGATGAAGATAGATAGATATGAAAAGACATAGATAGATAGATAGATAGATAGATAGATAGATAGATAGATATGAAGAAACAGATATGAAAAGACATAGATAGATAGATAGATAGATAGATAGATATGAAGAAACAGATATGAAAAGACATAGATAGATAGATAGATAGATAGATAGATATGAAGAAACAGATATGAAAAGACATAGATAGATAGATAGATAGAAAGATAGATATGAAGAAAAGATATGAAAAAGACATAGATAGATAGATAGATAGATAGATAGATAGATAGATAGATAGATAGATATGAAGAAACAGATATGAAAAGACATAGATAGATAGATAGATAGATAGATAGATAGATAGATATGAAGAAACAGATATGAAAAGGCATAGATAGATAGATATATAGATATATATATATATATATATATAGATATGAAAAAACAGAGATAGAAAGATAGATAGATAGATAGATATGTATCTGACGTGTCCGCGAAGAAAACATTTTTTAAATTTCCCTTAATAAAGATTGGACAAAAAAAAATGAACAAATCAGACTGAGTCAAATTTTGTCCGACTCTTTATTAAAACTAAAATATATTCTAAATGAATCAGTTTCAGAGAAAATAAAACCTTCTTTTTATTAAAACTCACGATATCGTAAAAAACAGAATAATTCAGAAAATCTTGCTGTGTCTTGTGTATTTCCTGTCGGACAAAAACTGTCTTGAAAGAAATTGAAAAATAAATGAAAAAATTGTAAAATAATTTCAACAATTTTAGGATTCTAAAGTTTTGCCTTTTTTCCCTTCACATGCTTTCATCTTTTGCATTTCCTTTTTCTTTGCGGACGAGTTGAATATTTCGACAAGGCCAAAAAAAAAAAAAAGAAAAAAAAAAAAGAAGGAAAATCGTTTTGACCTGGGTTAATGGTTAGCGAACTAGCTTGGTTGACCATTACTTCTGAGCAGTGCTTTCGATCCTCATTGGGTGCCCTATACTTGTAGGATTATATCAGAATAAGTTAAACATAGCGGAAAGGGGCTCTCGGTATTGGGGCAATGTCAGCGAGCTAGCATGGATGACCACTACTGAGTATTGGGTTCGATCCTCAATTAGTGCCCTATGTTGGTGGCCTTGTGCCAAACAAAGTTAAATTTAGTAAATTACAACTTGGGTACCTTAGCATGGAATAATGGCATATGGTCAAGCTTGGTTGAACATTGACGCTATATGATTGGCGATTGTATACTTGTGACCTTTAGTATTTTAAGATATTTTGGGGTAGTTTTTGAAGATATATCTGTTTGAATGAGATGTCAGTGTTAATTTCATTTTGTCTTATTTTAGACGTCAATTTATCCATCGCACCCAATTGCATCTATCTCTTTATTATATATATATATATATATATATATATATATATATATATATATATATATATACTAGCAGCATGGCCCAGCGTTGCCCATGCTTGATTCAAAAATCGTACGACTCATACAGCAATCACTATCACTTGACTTAAAATATTTTTGCTCTTCCTCGCCTTTAAAGGAGTGGCCTTTGCTGTGCTGATGTTGCTACATGCCTTACTTCTTGCCTATCTCACACTGCGAATTTTTTCTAAGCTCTATACTAAACATTAAATCTGTTACGAAAAAAGAACTAAACAAAATGAACACAAAACGATCAGCTTTAAAAAAAAGGACTCGTAACTGGAAAAACCGAATGAAAAAAGAATGTTAACAACAAATACTTTTTCACACCCAAATCAGTTCTGCGGAATCAGAATCAATATTGAGTTTAAGCAAGCGAATGAGCCAATTGGAGTAATGTGCCATGCAGATTTAAATTTTTCCTACTTGTGACGAATGCAGCTATTGATTTTTTTTTGCATGCAAATTAACATTCGTGTCAGAATCTTCCTGCCTATTCGCTCTCACTCTGGCCAGTAGAAAATGGCCGCAAACTACACGAAAACTGCCGTAGAAGCATGAAAAAATCGATTATTTCTACTATCGATGGGATTTGGGAAATGCAAAGTCGGTCTTGGCCTTCCCACTAACTTGGAGCATGTGCATGTAACTTTTGGTGCAAATCTGTCGAAAATTGCGGCCATGTATTCGTTATACACACACACACACACACACACACACACATATCCTGCCTTATATATATATATATATATATATATATATATATATATATATATATATATATAAAATGGAAGGACACCAACTTGAATTATGATAAACGCTACTATCAAACAATATACATTAAACAGTTTCATCTTAAAAAACAACCGTGAAAAGAAATTGAACACCAATTAACAACAAACCCCCTTGAAAAATGGCTAAAGAATTGGCCGAAAGCGCTTTGGACAACAGACACTATGGACAATTTTTACATTCATTGTCCACCACGAAACGGAAAGATTTAAGAATACAAAAAAAAATGAATAAAAATGAATAAAATTTTCCTTGTCTGTAATATTAGAAAAAAAAACACGTTTGAAAGAAAGGTTTGTGCCAATATATATATATATATATATATATATATATATATATACTTGAGGATTTTATCTACTTTTGCGCATGAACGACGAAGGACCCTGGTAGTTTCAAAATTTCCAACAATAAAAAAGTCTTTGAGAAGTTTTGAAACACCAGCGGCTCTCGTTCGTGCACATGTGTAGTTACAACAACGTCAACAAAGCCAGTTTGATGATGTCCGAAGGGATGAAACGCGTCAAAAATCTTTTTCCAATATGTTATATATATATATATATATATATATATATATATAGTAAGATTAGACAGTTGCTAATAAACAATATGAAAATAGTAGTCATATCAATCAGAACTTATGATCCTTGAAAAACTACTCATAAAGCAAAAATAATCATCTATAAATAAAAACAATTATAAATTAAGAGACTGCATCCTCAAATGTATATAATGAACACTTACACCCACCCACACACGCCCACACACGTCACACGTTTCCTATGTCACCACCCACTTGGCCCACATCACAACACTCACTCTTTCTACGTAACACCATTTATCTCTATCTATCCTGATGTCGAAAACTTCGACAATATTTCTTCCGAAATGAACTTCGAAAAATTCCTGACGGAATTTCCTTCTTGTTTGACAAGGAATATTTGTTATTTGAAAAAGTCTATCAGTAAAATTAATCGTCAGAAAATGTCTGTTGCCTTTAATAATAATAATAATATATATATATATATATATATATATATATATATATATATTATTGTTGGTCTCGTATTATTTTGCCTATTTTTTCTTCTTCCTCTTCTCATTGTTTATTGAGAATTTTCAGTTACACTTAACCATGCCGTTTGACTCTACACAGCGAAGCTCGTCAAAAAACAAACAAAAAAACTCGACATTATGAACACCTACGCAATATTGCGTAAGCGGAAAGAAGGCGTGGCTTTGGACGTTGCTGTGGACATATAAGCGGGCGATTTTGTCGGCACAGTAGTTGAAAGAATCGAATAGAAGAGAGGAACCCAAGCTTTCTCGCTAGTCAAAAAAAGGGGGACATTATCTTCATTACCGTAACAGGGAAAGCTCACAACCCTTCTAGATATGTTGAAAGGATACATTGTTTGGATGTATGATGGTCAGTTTTGACTTCACTTTAACTCGGCTCTCTCTTTTCCAATTCTCATCTATATATCTTTTTACCCTAAAATATCTCGGCAGAAAGAACATTTGCATACACGGCTTGTCTTTAGACTTTTTGCTGGAACTGAAAACTAAACAGAAGGCTAACTTTTTTCTTTTTTTTTGTTTTATCTTAGTCTATGATCAATGGCGGACTGGACAGGATGTCAGCTTGCCCGATGCCAAGTAGGCTTTATATATCAAATAAAAATGCAATAAAAAAACAGACAACTGTTTTAGTAATAAAATGAAATAAAAAAAAGTCATCTTCACACTATCAATTACTCATGCTCAATGTGAGAAACCATTTTCAAAGCTAAAGATGATAAAGACAAGGTTAAGAAATTCGCTGTCTGAGGAGAATTTGGAATCATATTTGTTGTTATCCATTGAAAAGGAATTGTTAGATGAATTGCATACAGAAACAATTATTTGCAGATTCATGTAATCATTCAATGAACACAATCAATTGCTCTTTACATAATTGACTGCATGCATTGCTTTATTCTGAGTGTGAACTGTCTGTGAGTTGTGCAGTAAACTATTTAAAAATATCAACCAATTACTTAAAATTAAAAGAATAAATAAAAAATTCAATTAAAATATTTTGTTTTTACATTTGATATCTTCTGCCGGTAATGTGTACAGTTTATTTTCTCTGTAATTCAGTGTTTCTCAACCTTTTTAAACAACGGCACACCTTAGAGCAAATGAAAATATTACGGCACACTTAGCAAAAATTTTTAAAGGGTATAAATTTAAATGTTATAGATATTTTATAAAAATACCCACATAAATATGAACTTACTTTATTTCAATGTTTCTGTTCAACTATTTTTGCAGTTTATTTCGGGTGAAACTTATGTCTGGTGTTTTGTCGTGACTTCTTCAATATTTGGTCAAATGTTCAATAAGCAGACCCTCATTTCTTTTCCAGTTGAGCATAGCCTTTCTTGCTTCTTATTTTTGATGTTATTTAGTGTTGAGAAGCCTAATTCACATAAATAAGAAGTGGAAAATTACAATAAAACTGATAAAGTCTTTTTAGCTAATGTTGGATATTCTTTTTGCATTGAAAACCAAAATGTATCAATGGGTACCATCGAAGATCTTATTTTGAATCCTCGATCACGAGAAATGGTGACCAATTCTTCTTCTTCACATAACTGAAATCCAATATTAGAATAAACATTTATGAAGAGATTTCGAATTCAATCATACTTTTCCTTAAAATTAAATCTGTAAAGCAGTTCTCCTCAAGTTTTTTAAGCAACAGCACACCTAAGAGCAAATGAAAATATCATGGCACGCTTTTTTTCAGTTGAGCGTAGTATTTCTCGTTTCTTACTTTTGAAGTTATTTACGGTTGCGAAGTCTAATACACGTAAATAAGAAGTAGAAAATTGCAATAAAACTGATAATGCCTTTTTAGCTAATGTGAGATAAAATGTTTAATACTTATTCATTTATTCAAATACTAACGCTGTACAATTACGAGTTTCACACACACAGATATATATGGATGCCGTAACAAACTGTCCTAATGTTCTGCATATTCCAGCGCTTTCTATAATTCTAATAACCATTATCAAAGATGATTTTTTTTAACTGAATGTGTAGATTTTTATATATATATATCTAGAGCAATGATTCTCAACATTTTAAGTAACGACAAATGGGCAAATAGTGACCTCCAAACTCTACTAAATTATAAAAATATATTTTTATAGTAAAATTACCAGCAATACATATTTATATTGTAAAATGACCAACAATACAATTTTATAGAATTTAACAACAATACTTTTTAAAGTAAACTGATCAACAATAAATTTTATCTGTAGTTGAAGGCATACAAGTACGTTTAAAATATATTTTGTAATATAAATATAACTAACCCTTAGAGGTTGATATGCTACTAAACAAAATCAACCAACCAAAATCAATAAGAACATTACTTTAGTCTGAAGAAGTCCTTTTAGAGGTCGAAACGCGTTACATAGAATCTTTTCAACTTTGTCATTCCAGTACTTAATATTGTTCATATATATATATATATATATATATATATATATATATATATATATATATACTGCGTGCCAAATTATTATCGAGATAGCTTTTTTTCTAATATTTCAAAAAACCGTCCAATCAATTCACACAAAATTTTCACACAATGTTGGCAACACTGATCTGCGTAATCACTAAAATTTTCGTACTGATCTGCGCAATGTAAACAAACTGGCGCCATATTTGTTATCAGCACGGTGATTTGAAACAGACGGCTCATTTTTTTATTTTAAACAGTGTGTAATACAGTGAACATTAAGTAAGATTAGGGCGTCTATTTCAAACTCGAAGTGTCCACTATAATCACGTAATCAAAATATCGCATTAATAATAAAACTATTAATTCTTTAACAATTTGTCCCTACCCGCTACGCACCCAAACGCCTACACAAAACCCATATAGCAACAGACACCAATATCTTTAAACATTTTCATTGGTCTAATTTAATACCTTCCCGCTTAAATTCAAAATCCTGTCTGTGAGCCTACCCTGGGCCTGTTCATTAAATAACCATTATTTAATGAACAGGCCCAGGCAGGGGCAGAGAAAGAGAAAGGAGAGAGAGAGAGAGAGAGAGAGAGAGAGAGAGAGAGAGAGGCACACACAGACTGAGACTGACGCATGATGCTGCTGCCATCTTTACGATCAAACCGTGAGGTCATCTCACAGACAATTGGAGAATGCATACGAATTATCGCACCATCGGAATACGACATGGAATACAACAACTTTATACAACTCAGCAACTGATCATAATTGAAACAACAAAAGATTAAATCCAGATATGATTTCTAACGCCATCACTATGAACTCTGAAAACTTCGACCCACTGAAGACAAATCATGATGTCACTAAGGAAAACGAGAACTCTCTCTATATCATAACACTGCCTCCATATCCACCGTGAATAAATTCACTTAAGTGCATTGTTGCATTTTGTTTCTGTAAATAAATATTGTTAACTTTCTGCATGTCTTTCATCACGCCACCAATGTCGCATCGTCCTGGGTATGACGATAAACTACATCCGATAGCAAGACCTTTGGTCAGAGGGTTTTGAGGAGCGTGGAACCACCTATTAATTGCTAATGTTCCCAGATACACCCTAATTCGGGGTGGTAGCACCTGTTAGGGTCCCAGCTATGGGCAAATAGTTAACCCCAAACTGCGGTCAAAACACTATGAAAGTGTAAAAATAGGTTTTAATACCAGAAATACTTTTTTTTGTAAAATATTGCCAGCAATGAATTTTTGAAGGAAAAAAATATTACCAGCAATAAAGATCTCGTCGGCATCCATTGAGGTTGGTATGCCGTAAAACAAACTAAACCAAACCAAATCAAACCTATGTTGCATGGCGGAAAAGAGGACTACATTTTGATCAAATCTTTCTGATATTTATAAAAGTCAAATTTCTACCTTTTTCTTTCCCATCATCCGTAACAGTAGGTCATACTCTTTCGATCTTTAAAATCTTATTTTGTGGTGTCGTATCTGTTTTAACATACAAAGGAATATTTGTGTAAGTCTTTCAAAAAACATTTGTTGGTTATTTCTTTGCACAGTTTGTAATTGTTGTTTTTTTTGTCTCGCTTTTTGGGAGATGATTCCCACTGCTATTTATTATTTCTTAATTAACCCCCGTCCTGTTGTGGGGTAGTCTTTCCTTCCATCTTTCCATCTTTGCCATTCATAGGGGTGGACTGTGTCATTAAATTACCGGGCTGGCGTAATGCGTGTTAGCAGGAGCTTACTACAGCTGGTATTACCCAGCAGTCACCCATCGAGGTACTGATTCAGCATTACTTTATTTCGGTGATCGAACGAGAAGAGGCGTTTCAACTGGATACAGCAATAAGTTATTCTTTTTTTCTTTTTTTTAATAAAGTTTTCTTTTCTGTTTTAAAACGACATTTGTGTTTGGATTCCTGGCAACTTTGTTACAGTGACATTTGCAAGTTCATAAAAGAAAACCTATAGAACGATAAAAGAAGAGAAAAACAAAGAGGGTGTATAAAGGTTGTAGTTATTAGAAGCATTTTTACTGCACTGATAACAGTATGAGCAATAAAGCTATTAACATGACTAATTATGTTGACAATTGACTGTGACATTAATTAACAGATGTTACATGTATGGAATAACGTTATTTATTGTTCATTTACAATAATAACCTTGTTTATCAGGTCTTATGGAGTAAAAAGAATGTAGGGAGTTGTATCAAATGTACATAGATTTAAATAGAAATGACGAAGATGATATAACTTTGCGTCATCATCTTAATAAGAACAATTATTGTATCTATGACGTAGATCAGTGTCACTTCCAAGACCTATTTTGACTAACGCCCTACAAATCCCATCAGTTCATTTTTAACACGCACTTCCGGGTTTGAAAAAAAAAATGACAACTGTGTCGTGTTAGACAATTTTTCCCGCCAGAATCTGTCTTACATATTTAGAAATCTACCATTTGTCGATGCTTTGAATATTGCTGCCACATATGGCCCGGTTCTCCTTCTATATATTTAAAGATTCCTGATAAAATACAAAGAATCTGCAATGTTATTGGTCCTGACCTGGAACCTCGGCTTCAGTCACTTTCTCACTGCCGTAATGTAGCTTCCCTCTGCCTTTTCTATAAATACTTTCATGGTAATTGTTTGAATGAACATTCCGCTATGGTATATAAAATTTTAATCATTGTAAATATTCATCAGGGTTTCATTTTTTCAAAGTTGTTATTTTTATCCACCTCCAGACAAATTGTACATACGGGAACTAGACAGGACTTCATAGAGACTCTGAGGTATTATGGTGGCTGTAGTAAAATGGTAAGTAAGTATGTGTTTTTTTAGTGCAAGGAATA